GGTGATGTAAGGTAACTGTACAGTATACACTCCCTCAGGGTGATGTAAGATAACTGTGCAGTGTACACTCCTTCATGGTGATGTAAGATAACTGTACAGTGTACATTCACTCAGGGTGATATAAGATCACTGTGCACTGCATACTCCCTCAGGGTGACATAAGATAACTGTGCAGTGTATACTACCTCAGGGTGATGTATGATAACTGTACAGTGAACACTCCCTCAGGGTTATGTAAGGTAACTGTACAGTCTACACTCCCTCAGGGTGAGGTAAGATAACTGTACTGTGTACACTCCTTCATGGTGATGTAAGATCACTGTACAGTGTACATTCACTCAGGGTGATATAAGATAACTATGCAGTGCATACTCCCTCAGGGTGATGTAAGATAACTGTACAGTGTACACTCCCTCAGAGTGATGTAAGATAACTGTACAGTGTACACTCCCTCATGGTGATGGAAGATAACTGTACAGTGTACACTCCCTCAGGGTGATATAAGATAACTGTGCAGTGTATACTCCCTCAGGGTGATGTAAGGTAACTGTACAGTGTACACTTCCTCAGGGTGATGTAAGGTAACTGTACAGTGTACACTCCCTCAGGGTGATGTAAGGTAACTGTACAGTGTACACTCCCTCAGGGTGATGTAAGATAACTGTACAGTGTACACTCCCTCAGGGTGATGTAAGATAACTGTACAGTGTACACTCCCTCAGGGTGATATAAGATAACTGTACAGTGTACACTCCCTCAAGGTGATATAAGATAACTTTACAGTGTACACTCCCTCAGGGTGATGTAAGATAACTGTACAGTGTACACTCCCTCAGGGTGATATAAGATAACTGTACAGTGCACACTCCCTCAGGGTGATATAAGATAACTGTACAGTGCACACTCCCTCAGGGTGATGTAAGGTAATTGTACAGTGCACACTCCCTCAGGGTGATGTAAGGTAATTGTACAGTGCACACTCCCTCAGGGTGATGTAAGGTAATTGTACAGTGCACACTCCCTCAGGGTGATGTAAGGTAATTGTACAGTGCACACTCCCTCAGGGTGATGTAAGGTAATTGTACAGTGCACACTCCCTCAGGGTGATGTAAGGTAACTGTACAGTGTACACTTCCTCAGGGTGATGTAAGGTAACTGTACAGTGTACACTCTCTCAGGGTGATGTAAGGTAACTGTACAGTATACACTCCCTCAGGGTGATGTAAGGTAACTGTACAGTGCATACTCCCTCAGGGTGATGTAAGATAACTGTGCAGTATACACTCCCTCAGGGTGATGTAAGGTAACTGTACAGTGGACACTCCCTCAGGGTGATGTAAGGTAACTGTACAGTGTACACTTCCTCAGGGTGATGTAAGGTAACTGTACAGTGTACACTCCCTCAGGGTGATGTAAGGTAACTGTACAGTGCACACTCCCTCAGGGTGATGTAAGATAACTGTGCAGTGTACACTCCTTCAGGGTGATTCAAGATTTTGCTTTCTGGTTTAAAAGTAACAGTCCAGAAAAACTATATCAAATGAAGAATGACCACAATAAGAACTAGTTTTAAAATACCATGTCTGGTACTAAAACACCATGTCTGGTACTTAAACACCATGTCTGGTACTAAAACACCATGTCTGGTACTAAAACACCATGTCTGGTTCTAAAACACCATGTCTGGTACTAAAACACCATTTCTGGTACTAAAACACCATGTCTGATACTAAAACACCATGTCTGGTACTAAAACACCATGTCTGGTACTAAAACACCATTTCTGGTACTGAAACACCATGTCTGGTACTAAAACACAGTTTGTTTCTGATCATTTGAAGGAAAGACATAAAATGCATTTTGCTTAGATGGTACCCTTAAGCTAATAATAACTGCCCTATAAAGCTGGGGTTCGGAATGGTCGCCAGTATAACCTTGGTTATTAACCCCTAGTGACATGGACAATACTATTACAGTCACATTTATTACATTTCATTATCAACAGGTCTGACCCTGGACTGAAGTCTAGAAAGCTGAAAGGAAAACACTTGATGTGATAATTGTGCTATACTGAGCAGAGGGCTCTGATAGATATATATACCCACTGATAACCGACACAGATTTACAGTAGACATGCTTATAGTGTTGTTTGTGTTGGTCAGATCACCGGTAAAAAGCTGTCAGAAAAATCAGTTAGGGTAATTGGACTAACCTAACAGGTAGGTGTACTGGTCAACTTTTCAGTGGTCAGTGCAGGTTCAAGATGAAAGTTCGCTGATATCAGTATTGAGTGTAGAACTGACCACAAGTGGCCAGACAGACAGCAGGACAAATGATGTAAGTAACACTTCTCTAGTCTCATTAGTAACATGTAATAATTAACTAAATAGTAACACGTAATAGTAACATGTAACACTTAATATAGTAACATGTAATCCTTATTATCAGACCCTTGGTGTTACATCACATAGATCTAGTCTATTAAGTGTTATGAAACATATGTCAAGTCCAAGTGATAACAAGCATTAAGGCTTGTTGAGTTTTTAGAGTAACATGCCGAGTTTGTATAGTAATATGCTGAGTTTGTATAGCAACATTTTGAGTTTGTATAGTAACATGTTGAGTTTTTATAGTAACATGGCAAGTTTGTATAGCAACATTTTGAGTTTGTATAGTAACATGTTGAGTTTTTATAGTAACATGGCAAGTTTGTATAGCAACATTTTGAGTTTGTATAGTAACATGCTGAGTTTGTATAGTAACATGCTAAGTTTGTATAGCAACATGCTGAGTTTGTATAGTAACATGCTGAGTTTGTATAGTAACATGCTGAGTTTGTATAGCAACATTTTGAGTTTGTATAGTAACATGTTGAGTTTGTATAGTAACATGCTGAGTTTGTATAGTAACATGTTGAGTTTGTATAGCAACATGCTGAGTTTGTATAGTAACATGCTGAGTTTTTATAGTAACATGTTGAGTTTGTATAGCAACATGGTTGAGTTTGAATAGCAACATGTTGAGTTTGTATAGTAACATGCTGAGTTTGTATAGTAACATGTTGAGTTTGCATAGTAACATGCTGAGTTTTTATAGTAACATGCTGAAGTTTCTTGTAACATGCTGAGTTTGTATAGTAACATGTTGAGTTTGTATAGTAACATGTTGAGTTTTATAGTAACATGTTGAGTTTGTATAGTAACATGCTGAGTTTGTATAGTAACATGCTGAGTTTTTATAGTAACATGCTGAGTTTGTATAGTAACATGTTGAGTTTGTATAGTAACATGTTGAGTTTTATAGTAACATGCTGAGTTTGTATAGTAACATGCTGAGTTTGTATAGTAACATGCTGAGTTTTTATAGTAACATGCTGAGTATATAGAGTAAAATGTTGAGTTTTTATAGTAACATGCTGAAGTTTCTTGTAACATGTTGAGTTTGTATAGTAACATGCTGAGTTTTTATAGTAACATGTTGAGTTTGTTTAATAACATGTTGAGTTTGTATAGTAACATGTTGAGTTTGTATAGTAACATGCTGAGTTTTTATAGTCACATGTTGAGTTTGTATAGTAACATGCTGAGTTTGTATAGTAACATGCTGAGTTTTTATAGTAACATGTTGAGTTTTTATAGTATAATGCTGAGTTTTTATAGTAACATGCTGAGGTTTTTTAGCTTCATGCTTCTCTTTTCTTGATAGGAAATATTGACATTTTGTTGATAGTAACATGTAATACTTGTCTCAATAGTGGAACATTTCACACTTGCCTGAATTAAGTTACATGTAACAATTGCCCTATTAGTAACATGTTACTTTTCTCAATGGGAACATTTAACACTTTTCCTAACAGTAACAGGAGATGCTTGATGTAATAGTAACATGTAACATTTGTCCTAATAGTAAATGTGTAGGTTTGTGTTAAAGGGGCTATTTGGTTAAATTTCACCCAAGACCGACTAGATACTGAATATATATAGATCTCATGACGAAAGTTTACATAGTTGATAATGACATGACCTGAAACCAACGTCCAGTTTGGTCAGTTTTATCTTTTGGGAAAGCCGGTGATAAATATAGCTACGACCAAAATAGCACAATATCCAGGCCTTTCACAGAGAAGTAAACTATGGTTTCCCAGGGGTGACAAACAATTACTTCACTGATTTGCTCCTTTAAATAGATTATCATGCTTATCCAGTATTCACAATAAATATAAATAAATAATCTTTATTAACGTCATGTCAACAACAAACATAAGCTCTGTAAAGCTTTTATTATGACGCCGCTTAGGGAACAAATGTAGTTTTTGTGGTGAACGAAAGCCCAAGGGGGGAAAACCACCGTGCCATCGGAAGGATAACAACTAACCCTATCAGACATCACTCTATTTTTTCTGCCACCGCTGGGGATCGAACCAATGATTTTTCAATGAAGTAAACTATATACTACCTGTGTTCTAATAATTCTAACCCTCCGTTTGACCACTGAATTGTTTTCAGCCAATCAGAGACCATAGCAGCAATCTTGAATCCCATAAGTTAAAAGTCGGTCTTTCTATATATAGGAAATCCCCTATGTACCACTACAACACACAGTATCAACATGGTCAAACCATATAAAACTCAAAATATAACTGTCACTGTCTCAGCAAATCAAAGGCCATAACGGCCATCTTGAATCCTAAAATTTAAAATTGGGCCATTTATCAAAAAGTATATTGGCTTAATGTATATATCACTCTGCAATTCCACAAACCCTTAAAATCTGCCCTATAGGGCTCAATTTTTATTATAACGCAGGGGTGTAAAAATCCACTAGCCCAATGCCTGGGGCCACCAGATTTTCAGCTTGTGCTAGTGAAATTAAGAGGCTTAAAAGCCCAGTGCTAGTGACTTTATAGGATGTCATGACTAACAAGAATGCTTTTGTTCTATTCTATCATCATAAGGGTAACTAATGAACATTTTAAACCTGTCAATTCCTGTAAATGTTTACTACAGTATCCATCCGAACACATGGAGTCATTCTCGCCATATTGATGATGCAAGAGGTTCTGTTGCCTTTCACATGTGTGTTATGTGTGATAGTTGCTATTCACAATTCACAGCATTGAATAGCTAGTCTATACTTACCACTTAAATGGCCCTCTTTGTTGAAATTATTCTCTTTTATTTGATTTGAACATGTGGGGTACAGAAATAAAGTTCATCTCTCCAAAAGTCGGCAAGTCGGCCATGTTTGTTTTAAAGGCATTCATTTATTTTTTAAGAAAAACATATCCATCTGTGTACGAGATATAGATCCTGTGATAATGTTGACAGCTTGATCCATTTCGTATTTGTCGGCTAGGAGGATTACTAGTCTCCTAAAAAACTTTAGTTCACCCCTGTAATGGTCATCCAGTGTCATATTATATATGTCATTTTATAACTCATTATGTCATATTAAATCCAGAAATTGAAAAGCTGGCAGGATTGGATGATAATTCCACTAATCCTAATGCAAAGGGCTGTTATTCTTAAGCACAGCATTTCACCGAAACTCCTGCTGAACCAATAAACAATCAGAGGGTGGTTGTAATTGTCACGCTTGAATTAATATTTACCATCCTAAAGCATTATCATGATATAAACCTACCACATTCAGATGGCATTCATGCTGGGTATGAATGCCACAATGCCGATTAATGACATCATCGTTATTATGATATCTGGCTATAACTGTAATGATGGATACCCCTTACCGTCTCTGGACAGATGGCTGTTCTACTAATTAAACAAGCATAAACGATATTCATCATTTGAACTAAATACTGAAGAATAATTAATAGGAGTAATCAGGTGTTCTAGGAGATGAACATCGATTACAAAAATCTGTAAGTATTTAACTACTTCCAGTTGGCATTTATAGGCAATATGAATGCCAACTGAAAGCAGTTCCATGCTCAAATATTATTTAACTCTCTATCACGGAGGTTTCATAATAAACTATCCCAAATTTTGAATTGGAAGAGTTCAAATGTGTCTTGAGAGATGAATGAGTGAAGAGGTGTTAATTTAATGGTGAATAGAATACCAGTTCTCATAGACTGGCTAATAATATAAAAAAATATCATTTTTTCTTCTAGCATATATAATTGTCTACCCCTAGTTAAAACTTGTGATCAGGCCAAAAAAAAAAAATTTTCAGAGTCTAATATTTTTCTGAATAATTCAATAATCTAGGGATAGGAACCAGTCATTTCCAGTTCTCAGAGATAAGGAAAGGAAATCCTCTGTTTTAATATTTCCCTCTGTAATGAGTACCCACACAAATATTTGTTTAAAGAGGCGCATGGTAGTCTAGTGGTAGGATTCTGGGCTCGTGACCGAATGGTTGCAGGTTCGAGTCAGGTCACGGCACTGTGTTGTATCCTTGAGCAAGATACTGTACTCCACTTGTTCCAGTCTTACTTACTTAAGTCTCTCCGCGCCAATAGGCGCATATGGCCTCCACATTTTTTTTCCAACCAAATCTGTCTTTCGCTGCTGTTTTTGCGGTGTTCCAGCTACTCCACCCTATATAGTTGCGCTCTTTTTCAACCGTTCCAGTCTACTCAGCTGCAAATGAGTACATGGTTGGGCAGTGCTAGAATTGTAGAATGCTAGCTGTGAGCGCCTAAATGGCAGCACCGGCTGTATGCTCCCCAGGGAGTTGAGAAAGATGTTGGCTGGTTGCAAAGGCCCTAGCTACAACCATGGATAAAAATTTGTGAACTGCTTTGAGATGACCTACGAACTAGGTTGTGATAATGCGGTATATAAGAACAAATTGGCAACAAATTTAAAAAAAAATCTCCTCAAGTTCCACAAGGTCTAGAGTCTTGATATTTCATATTTGAGGTGTTGAGATGTTTGGGTATCAGGTTTGAAAAAATGGTCAAGGTCACAAAGGTCAAATGTTTAAAAAAAAAATAAAAAAATCTTTCATCAAGAATATTTCGAAAATTGTTCGTAAGATTCACTTTATATTCAGGTATGATGTGGACAACACAAATGCGTGCATTTTCGGCAGAAAACATTTTGAGTTTAGCAGGTTGAGTTTTGAGTTATTCAGGGGTCAAACTTCATATGTGCTATTTCAAGATAATGACTTCAAAAAACTTCTAAAGTTCTACAAGGTCTAGAGTCCTACTATTTGATACATAATAGTGTCAGGTGATTGACTATCAAGTTTAAAAATATGATTGACCTTGAATGACTTTCAAGATCACAGAGGTCTTATATGTAAAAAATATTGAAACCACTTTTTCTGAATAACCAATAATTCCAGGGTAACGATGTTTGGCAGAG